CCCCCCCCGCTTCCTGAACGCTCGACGAGTTTCCAGGAAGATTAGTTAGGATAAAGGGATACAATTAGTTATTTACTTAGTACAATTTTCCGAAATCGTATGTGGCCCCATGAAGCACGGAAGAGGTGAGTCGGAGTCTCGGCAGGCTTTCACTGGCTTCCTCTCCTGGGGGAAACAACCCTGGAAGTTGGGGGTGCTGCTGGCCCTGTCTCCTTCCACAATCTATCTCAGATCTTTATGAGGGGACCCATGGAATGCTGGGACTGGGGGAGTAAGATGCATCACCCCCACCCCGTTTAGAGTACCCATGGCAGGACTCTGCTTGAACCAAGGAAGGTGCACCTCTCTCTCTCTCTCTCTCTCTCTCTCTCTCTCTCTCTCTCTCTCTCCCTCCCTCCCCCCCTTCTCTCACACTCCCTCTCTTTCCCTCTCTTTCTTTCTCTCTTTACACACACACACACACACACACATATATTTTTGAATTTATATATTGGAAGTGGTGTGTGGAATTTTCTATGTGGGGCCACCCACCTACACAGTAAACACTGAAGGTGATTGTGGCCTTCCTCTTAACATGCAATTTCAACACAATCTTTTCCATTTTTCTGTTGAACTGAAGTTAAAGTAAATGACTTTTAGTGGATGCTAACCAAGAGGAGCCCTGAAGGTAAGGACTGCCACATCCAGGTAACTGAGGTAATAGACAATGGCTTTCCTTTGGTGCCAGGGATATATATGTATGTGTGTGTATGTGTGCGCATGTGTGTGAGTATATATGTATGTACATATATGTGTATGTTTATATATATATATTCTCCCTCCTTCTTCTCCCTCTTTCCCACCTCCCCTCCCCCTCCCTCCTTCCCTCCAAAAAAAGGAAATGAAAGTCCTTAACTTCCAGAAATCAAAGCATACCATAATCTTAATCCTTTAGTTAACTGATATCTTTCAAATTTAAGCTGATCTTTTACAGTTAGATTTAATACCCTTCTATAAATCTTGAGGTTTCGGCCTCTTTGGCTGAGACAATTTTCACGCGCTCCGGCCTCCTCTGAGATCTATTCTCCACGCAGCAGCTGTGCGACTGGAAAGCAAAATGCAGAACATAGCGAGGTCTTGTTCAGCTCTGTAGGGTCTCCCATCGCATCTTAGGAAAATCTCAGCTCTTCCCCTGAACTAGGAGTCCAAACAGTGTGATCTCTGTGGCTCCCATGCCCTCTAGGGAATTCCTCCTCCCCCCCCCTTGTTCCCTAGACTCAAATCCTCCATGCCCCAGGCCTTTGCTGCTGAGGTTTCCTCCACCTGAATGCTCTCCTCCAGACCCACCTGTAATTAGGTCCTTCTTCTCATTCAGCCCTCACCATCTCTCAGAGATACCCGCCCTCCCCGCTGAGTCTCTCTAAGTAAGACCCAGTATTTCCACCTCCTTGCTCTATCACACACCTTATCGCTGGTGTGCCCATTCCCATTCTTACTGTGTTCTTGTATGTGTTAATTGCTGGTGTACACTTTTGTTTATTTGATTCCCGCCAGGGTCTTCCGCTAAACAGCAACGTGGGATGGATAAAACTAGCCAATCAAGAAAACGGTCATCGATGGTGACATCCAGGCCCAGGCTGCTGACAAGGACCATTTCTGGGTCTGTGTTGGTTCAGGCAGCCAGGGTCTGTGTTGCCACCAAAGACCACGTGGATGTCAGGGGTTTGGGCCACCACCTACGGCCATATTAGTGCCTGAGGGTTGTGCCATTGCTGGAGCCATACGGATCTGAGTGGCCTGTGCTGCCACCCTGAGCCCTTGGTATCATCTGGGCCTGGAATGCTGTCAAGGGCCATGTCTGGGTCTGTGACCTTGCCCCAGCCACGTTCTGTGGTGAGGTCTGTGGCTCCTGTTATCACTGAAGGCAGTGAGAATGGGGTCACACAGAGATGGCTCTGTCCCTCCCTGGCTGCAGTCTTGTTTCTCCCTGGCTGCAGCTCCGTCCCTCCCTAGCTGCAGCACTAGGAAAAGCTGCCCTTGCTCCTCACCAACTGCAGCACTCAGCAGAGCAGGCCCTGCACCTTACCTGAGCAACATAATGGAGCTGTTGACTGGGGTGCAGGTGAGCCAGCCATGAAGGTGTGAGAATAGGGGAGCTAGCCCCACTACCTGTCTGTCAGCGGTGGAGAGATCAAGGGA